GACATGCCGGCCGTCACAGGACCATCGATCCACCATATACGCTTCAGTGCGCTACATTTGAGCCCAACTCGTCGGGCTAAACACCGGCACTCGTCAAACCAGCACCCACAGCACATGAAATTTACACGCCATGACCCATAAACATGTCGACGTCCCATGACGCCGCTTCATTCAATTCCATTTTCAACGGCAGCGCGTAAAGGCCACAATCATTCCTGCCAGCTCATCCATGGACTTGTCCAGTCATGCATGGGATTCATCAAGACGAGGGTGGGTTACCTGCACACAGGATGGACAAGCCTGCCGAGAGCTCCGAAAAGTCGACCCACCCGTCTTGGTTCGAGTCGAAGAGGTCGAACAACCGGCGAAGAAACGCAATCGTGGTGGGCGTTGAGTCGCCTTCCATCAAGTGGAGAAAGCACTTGTCAAAGTGGGCTTGGTCCAAGTGGCCGTCGTCATTGGCGGCCTCCGCAAACAGTTCAAACACGTCTTCTGCTCGATGGAACATGAGCTTGGTGTGCCGTCGAATTGCGTCGACGTTCCATCCATGCTCAGTGGATCGCAGTGGCTTTTGGTGGCGACTCAACGGTTCTACGAGGCTGTCGTCGGGGGTCTTGTGCTTGGCATACCACACGGCGAACTCGTTCAAGCTCAATCGGTTGTCGCGGTTCACGTCGGCCTCGAGAAACGCTTGTTCGGCGGTGAGAAGGCCGAGGTCGGCCGCCGACACGCCCGTTTTGCTGGCCATCGTTGGCTGCACCACGTACAGCACGCGGAAGACCGCTGTCAAGTACCGTGTCATTTCGTCGATCGAAATGTACCTATGGAATAAACCAAGCAGGTAAATGTGTTTGCCATGACGGGTCATGGATAATGTAAATGGACGAGTTGACTCTCCGCAGGGTAAACTCAGCACAAACCAATCCATGCATGAACACCTGGAGGCAAGTACCATCGAGAATTCAGCTCCACAAATTTGCATGCACATCGCCAAACGATCGACTGTGACACACACACGACTATGTTCCGTACCCATCGCTGTTGTAGTCGTACAACGAAAACGCCGCCTGCACTTTGGCATCGCGGGAACCTTTGCACAGAACGCTGAGACCGGCCGCGAGCTCGGCAAACTCGACGCGGTCGCCGGTGGCGTCCTTTACAAACGCGCGATAGAGACCCGTCGCAACACTGGGAAGCGCGAGTGGAACGTGGCCGTGGAATTCGTGGGCCAAGTTTGTCAGACACACAACAAAGGCCTCCAAGGACACACTCCCTCCTTCCGACGATGCCATGTCGTCGTCGGCGCAGTCGGCCAGGCGCTCAAACGCTTCGTCCACCTCCAAATATCCCAATGCCGTAATGTGCCGGATCTCCCGCAGCGACGGCAACGGGGCGGGACCTTCCGATCGCACTCCTTGCGTGTACCATCTAGATTTCATTCCAATGAATTTTCATAATGCCAATCATAAACGAAACAAAACTGCCGGTCGAGAACAAGCTACAGCTTTCTCGACCATCCACTGGATTGAAAGCCAAACCGCATCACGCAAGGTTGATTTGGTTGGGGCATACCTTTGAAATTCGGCAAAACTGATGGAATTATCGGCATTCGTGTCGGCTTGCTCCATCGTGTGGTCGGCTGTGATGGCGGCCAACTCGTGGGCTGAAACGTGAGCCGCATCCGCCGGCGGGTTGAGCACGTACATGACGGCAAATACGGCGGTAAAGTACCGCACAAGTTCGTCTTTCGACAGCGCCATGTCCCCGTTTTGGTCCATGAGGCGGAAAGTCGCGCGGACTTTAGCGTCAGCAGATTCGTCCTGTGCCAACACCGACAGCCCGCACGCGACGTCCTGGTAGCACAGCCCCGGCGTGAGTGACCGAAACGCCTTGTGGAACGACTGGTAGAGCTCGTTGACGAGGCCGTGGACGACAGCCTTTTCGGAATCGTTCTCACTTTGCATGAGCTTGGAAAAGCACGCAACAAATGCCTTCTCCGACACGACGTGGGCCGTCAACCGGTCGTGAAACAAATCAACCAGCGTGTCAGCTGTCAAGTGACCCAGTCCTATCTCGAGAAGCGTTCATGCAACAATGAATTTAGTCTAAAGGCGACAGGACTCAATCCCACGAAGAAAATACAACGCATCGGGCAGGCACCCCATGCAAGAGAGAGGCAAGAAATTCAAAACACATCCACCCCCACAGAATAAGCAGCTCGAAACTATATGCATTATGCGCTGCTGCGCTTACCCAACAACGCCCGAGCGTGCGCGGGTGAGAGTGGCGACGACGACGTCGTGCGAGGCGCTGCCGTGGGAAGGCGGCGTTGATTGCGGACTGCGCCTGGTTGCGGTGCCTGGTACCATGCAGTGAACTCGTCGATGCTGAGTTTATTGTCGTGATTCAAGTCGCACGTCGCAAATGCTTGGCCAGTCGTGGCTTGGGCCAAGTGATCCGCCGAGACGTGGCCGAGTTGGGCGTGGAGCGCCGGAGACGTTTGTAGAAGCACCTTGAAGACTGCAGTCAAGTACTCGGTCATTTCTTCCCGGGAAATGAACCCGTCGCCATTCTTGTCGTACAGCGAAAACGCTGCTTGAACTTTGTCTTGGTGAGAGCCCTAACACCATTCAAACGCGGTTGGAATACAACGATTCTGTGCTTGCCATCCACTCCAATCTGGAACCTCACGATCGTTTCCAACGAGCGAATCCGAGACCCTCCACACCAGCCATTCATTCCATCATTGGTACGTACCCCACATAGCAAACTCAAGCCGGCTGCCAGCTCCTTCGTGTCGACAACCCCGTTGCCATCGGTGTCAAACAGCACAAACAATTGCTCCAGAGTGGCCTTTAGCAGTTGGGGCGATGCTGTCACTTGGGATGCGCCGTTGCTCGACGACTTACTCAGCAACTTGTTAAAGCACCGGAAAAACTGGGCTTTGGACAGTTGATCATTGGTCGCACTCGCTTGAAAAAACGAGAAAATGTCCGCCACAGCGTATTGGCCCAAATGAGTCACTTGCCGGGCACGGCGCAAAAACTCCAAGTCGTACGATGACGGCGCCGTATGTGGCCCTCGACTCGAAGCATGACTTGGCTTGGCAAGGCCAGAGGCAGGCGGATGCTGTGGCACGGGCGGGGCGGAAGGTGTGGGGGCGGAATACCACGCCGTGAACTCGTCCAGGCTAAGCTGACCGTCGTGGTTAGAGTCGTACTGGGAAAACGCATCGGCGGCCGTCGACTCGGCCAGCTCCACGGGGGATACGCCAGGAATCGGCGGCGGTCCGAACGCGTAAATCACTCGAAACACCGCTGTAAGGTAGCTCACGAGCTCCGACTTGGAGATGAACTGATCCTTGTTCACGTCGTACAGGGTAAAGGCGGCCTCGATTTTTTCTTGCTGCGACCCCGCACAAAGCAAGGACAGTCCAGAGCTGAGTTCGCAATAGTCGACAACGCCGTCACCGTCGCCGTCAAAAGCAAGGAACAACCGATCCACTACCTACATCGTTTCTATCAACTCACATCTGTATCAACGTAAAAGCCACGCAATAAACTGAATCCAAGTGAAAAATTCGACTCCAGTGACAGGATAAGTAGAGCGAATGCGCGATGAGTTCGTGGAAGCAGCCACAGTTGTGCGACTCTTTTTGTTCTCACATCCATGAAACCCAACGGCGAATCGACGTCACGATGGCATTTCAGACGACGAGGCCAAAACAACCCCATGAAACTCGTGCCAGTCCACCTAATCCGCCCGACAGATTGACCCACATCATACCATGCGAGCTTGGGCCGCAGACGTCGTCGAGCCTTGCATGAGGTGGAGAAAGGCTTGGTCGAATGCATGCTTGGTTAAGACACCATCGGCATTCACGTACAGCGCGACGACCTCAAACACGTCAAGGGGATGGCGCCAGCTCAAATTCGTTAGCGCTCCCACCCGTTCAAGCGTGACGCTGGTTGGCGGCGTCAGCGCGACGCCACCCGGGATCGTTCCTGTCTGCTGGTGGTGGTGTTGACCATGCACCTGACTCGGAAACAAGGGCGGGGGGGTCGGTAGCGCAGTGGTCGGTGCCGCCGTGAACCTATAAAAAACATCATTGCCCGACGAAAAAGGCAATGATATGGATGGCGCGTACCACGCGTGAAACTCATCGAACGAAATCTTGCCGTCGTGATTCAAGTCTGCTCTTTGGAACATTTCCTGTGCCGTCAGCGTTGCGAGAACGTCCGGCGGGACTGGCACGTGGGCATTCGTCACTCCGTGCAACACACGAAATACCGATCGAAGGTACAACGTCATTTCTTCCAGCGTGATGCGGCCGTCGCCGTTCGAGTCCATCAAATCGAACGCAGCGCGCACGCTGCCTCCATCTACAACCAATGCAGTCGCAAATCAACCACATGCATCAGACAGTAGCAGCAGAGAGGCATCCTCACAAGAGAGCTAGACTTGAGGGAACGTCGAGCAAATAATGTCGGAGGCTAAAAACACGAACCGCGGCAACCTCGTTCGGCCAAAATGCAGAAGCACATCATCAGCGCCGGCGCGCTCACCCCAGTGTTTCATGTCACAAAGCATTCCCCCATGTGGAACCAAAGTATTCAATTGTCTTGTAGTGGAAACGTAAGAATGGCCAATATGCAAAGAGAATCGAGCCAAAGAAAGTTGTTCGTTGCACAGGTGTCGACGCAAACGACGTACACGGATCGGGGTGGCAGAGGACCGAGAGCCCGGTTTTCAATTCCAAAGCATTGAGCACACCATTGTGGTCCGAGTCAAAGAGGTTGAAGAGCGTGTGTAAGAGGGCAATCGTGGACTGTGTGACAGGTTTGCGCTGGCGCTGCAAGATACGCTTCATCGTGGCGAGGAAATCCGCTTCAGTCAGCGCGTTGTCGTGCGGAAACCAACCGAGCATTTCGTCCACGGCGTAGTCGCCAAGGCCAGTCATGTCTCTCACAGCGCTTAACGTCCACTTGACCTACTCCAGCAAAGACTTGAGGAAACAAACCCACAGCGATGGGGCACAAAAAAGGTTTTGCCTCGAGCAGTGTGCACAAATACGTTTTGGCTGTTCAAGAGCGTGAAACACAGTGTCGAAGCAGATGCGCAGTGGCAATGGCTTGCCGTGGGTCGACAACTGACCTGGATGGGTTGGCGAAGTTGCGAATCGACTTGTTTCACGTGCACTTGCTTAAGTTTGCGCGCATGCGGCTGGTGGTGGTGGACACTCTTGCTGTACCACACCTGGAACTCAGCGTAGCTGAGGCGGCCGTCGTGGTTCAGGTCGGCGTCTTCAAAGCACTGGGCCGCCGTGACGTGGCCGAGTTGGATCGGGTCCACGTGGTTGGTCGCAAACACCTCCGGGTTGAGCTCCGCGATGGTCAAGTACACAGACGTGAGGTACGTCGTCATGTCGTCGCGGCTGATAAAGCCCTGCGCCGAGCTGTCGTAGAGCGAAAACATGGCTTGGATCTTTTCGTCTCGGTCGCCCTGGACGAGCACAGAAAGGCCCGATACGAACTCGATTACGTCGACGACATCGGTACGATCCTTGTCAAACACGTCGAAGAGGCGCGACAGCAGCAGATGGACAGTCGTCGCGTCGGGAGAGGATGTAGGAACCAGCAACGGCAGCGCCTTCTGGAACGAGCTGCGGTCCAACGCGCCTGCAAGCACTTTCTCGTCAATCCACATGAATGAGGAACGGAAGAAGGAAAGTTTTGTACCGGTCGGAGCGGCGCGGCGGAATTCGTGAATGAGTTGGGGCAGCGTAAACTGTGTCAGTTCCTCGTTCGTTCCTTGGGCATGGTGGTGCCAACCCACGCGCGCTGGGCGAGTGAGTTCCGTATACGACACGTCCGGGTCGCCCAAACACACGAGCTCAAATGGCACGTACAGTGCCGCTGAATCCTTCTTCGCACGACTGAATGTCGATGGATGGCGCGAGAGCAGCGACAATGGGAACAGCGTATTCGACTCATTCTTCAGAGCAATGGGAGTAGTGTTCACATGCGGGAAAATCGCACGCAGACACGCGTACAATTCTTCCAACGGCATATTCGGATGCAAAAGTAAGTCTCGCACCGTCCCATGCCGCGAAATCGCCACACGGCACACGCGACTGATGTCGAGGCAGGAAGCTGCAGGAGATATTGTTACGTCGTCCGCCGCTGAGTCTCGGGATCGCCAAGCAGATGCAGATGCTGCAGCTCGACGAGACATGCGAGCAGACCGGAATACACTTGGCGCGCCACCTCCAAAGCTCGTCGCCCAAGGCGTCGGACGGAGTGTCGCTGTCTCCCATTTCATGGTCGTCCCAGAAGTTGGAGGATGGAACGTGAGTTGGAAGATATCGCGGCCTATCCGGAAACTATATCCGGATACCCACGTGCGGCCACGATTCATAAATACACGCAGCCATCCTAAGTTAGGTAATTTGCATGCCGATTATTAGCTAATTTAAATCGGATTATCATTCAACTAGGCTTTCGCTACCTTTTGAATTACTGTATTGCAGTCGAACAGGGAGCAGTGGGTTTAACACGTTCTATGCAACGGTAAAGAGCCGAAGTTTAACCTATATTCCCGTCGATTTCACACAACAGGCAGGCAATTCAATATTTTCCACCGGAAAGGGAGCAGCATGCACTTGTGTTCGCATGAGGGAGCACAGCCCTAGCCAATGCAGAGAATTTTCATGCATTTATTTCGTTCGAATCGTTGAACGAGTTTCGTGGAGGCCCGCCAATATGGCACATTCCATTCAACTTGGTACGAACTCAAGGGAATTGTGATGTGCGAATACAAACCCCAAGGTTGCAAAGCTCAGGGGGACCACCAATATCGAACGAATAATGTTCTCATTCAACATTCAACAGCAGGGAGGCAACCATGGTACCCCCTCGTTCGTTATGATCTCAGCTTTTCTTCAACTCAAACTTGTCATTGAGGATACGTGCTTTTGTGGGACCAAGCGGAAAGCTGATGGGAGGGGAGTGTGAGGGGAGATTCATGCTGGTACGGTTGTTGTTCGACTTGTATTTTTGCATTTTCCTCGCATTTTCCTGAACAGCAGATTTTGAGATCGAATTTCCGGATATGTAACGTTTCCTACACACGGGTTGGCAGAAGCAAACTCACTATCCGGATGATAGATCTTTCGCTTTGCAGCGCGCTTTTTCCGCATTATCTGTTCCGCTGACATGGGCCGCTCCTCGAACTCTGGAAGAGCGGCGGGGGCGTCATTGCCTCCTCCTACTCCATTGCTCCCGCCACATGTATACTACATCGACGCAGGATTCTTGGCCGTGGGTACCTTGTTGCGCCCCGATGAATGGGTCAAGGACGAATGCCGTAGTCACTGCAACATTTGCATGCAGCAGTTCCATGCATTTCGGCGCCGTCACCATTGCCGCACAGTAAGTACCCAATGATTCGATTGCGAGCATAGTTCACTTGCACGACAGTGTGGCGAAGTGTTGTGCCACAGCTGCTCCAAACACAAGAAGGTTCGGCTGATCAGGCTCAATTACGAACTCGGTGTCCGCATATGTACTTTCTGCGTCATGCAAGCTACAGACGCGACGCGAGATGTCCGACATCGTTCGAAGTCTTCCATGGTGCGAGGACTAGCTGGTCACGCTGGGGAACCGTTGGGGGGTCGAATCCTTGGACGTCAAGGAGGAAAAGATGACAATCAAGACTTACCTGAGTGAGTTGACATTCACGACACACTTTGCAACTCTCATGTGTCAAACTTTTTGCAGCAGCGTCGTCAATGAAAAATTGTCAAGCGTGTCGTGGCGCCTTACGTCACAAATGAGCATGTGTCCAGCATGGCGAACGACCGGTGAAAGCACTGCAGCAATGTCGAAATTGGACTGCGATCGACTGGCAGACACGTCTGCTCCAGACGACAGTACGATGAACGTGCTGCTTCACCTCGTCGCGAATTCGCTGTTCTGTCCCATGGTGTGCATCGGTCTCGTGGTCCCATCTTTGTCGTCCGTCAGCGCCAGCAGTCAGTTCCAAGCCAGTTACGGCCTGCCTCCAACACTTTCTCCGTCGGACGTTTGCAGTATCGTGTGGTCGAAAGGGGGCAATAGCTCAGTCATACTTCACGACACGTTAAATGGTGAAGCGACCTGCCCCCCGGCATTACTGGCGCACGAAATTCGGTTTTTCGCCGGTGTTCCCATTCTTGTGAATGGTACGCAGTGGTGGTTCTACAATATCGTTGAAATTTTTTTCGCTCATGGTAAAGTTCTACGTAGAGGTAATGGTTGGCGTTGTTGTTGCCATGGATATCGTACCTCACACGCAAACGAGCTTGGAGCAGCATAATACATTGGACTCCGTCGCACGGATTGCCGCGGAAGTGCTGGAAGAACGAGCCGCCTTCGCCGCTGGGACCAGCCACTGGCCAAAAGGCAACAGCTTCGATGAGCTGAAGAACACAAGTCCGGTATCGATTGCACACAACGCAAGAGAAACGCCGCCAAATCGAAGCGATCCTGACGAAGTGGCTGTGGTTAATTCGTTCGACTCAGTTACCTTGACCCCATTCACATCATGGCCGGCGAGCGCAAAAAGAGGTACGCTTGTGACGACAGTGGGAAATCGATCGCGATATTCGAATGCGACTCCATATGACCACGCGATTCGTACCGCCATGGTGTTTTATCGCGCGCTGTTGCGAAGTGCCTGGGAACTCGAACGAGAAGTGGATGGAACAAGGCTGTTTTCCCTCGATGAACGCTACGAATGGGGCTACTTGAAAGCTACCAAAGTCTTGACGGTGGGGGATGGCAAAGTCGACTGGAACAAAGTCCTGGACCTTCGCCAAGCCAAAGTGTATGGAGATATTGTTGCGTCGACGACAAAGCGCTCGTTGGTAGATATGCACACCACGATCGATGTCGTTGAGTTCCACACAGCTGCGTTGTCCCGTTCGTCGTCCAAACTACCTTCAGACAAGGTGCAATTGCTCAGCCATCAAAGACAGTACCCTGGCGGCACATGGACCATGCTTGCCATCGACTTGTCCGACATGCAGTTCGTGTTTGCGTGGCTTGTTTCCCCCCATGCGGCCGGCCAGGTGCTGTTGTCTGTAATCATGCCAAACTTTGCGGCTGGACTAACCGACATATTGCTCGTTCGACTACTGGCACAAGTTCAAGAGGTGGACTCCTGCCTCACAAGTGATTCCAGTCCATTGAGACCTTATTTATCCGCGTAGGTGACGGCAAGCATGGGCGACTTGAGGTTGAGTGCATGCTCGGGAAGCGCAGATATATTGGAAACCCGTGGCATGAGAGCTTATTCATGCAGTGTGATTCCAGCGTCGACATCACTGCGCGACGAAAGTGATGGCGCGACAACAAGGCAGCGGTCGAGGTTCTGGGATCTGTTGGGCAAGACAATTCTGACCCAGCAATTGTTATCCCAGCAACAATCAAGCATGATGCAAACGCTGAACGAAAACGCCAACAAGCTCGAGCGATTATCTCAAGCTGTCAACCGCGTCGAGAGCCTGTTGGAAGCAAAGCCGTTAGAGCTGCTGCATCGTCTCCATAATTGATATCGTCGCAAATGTGCCAACATATGCAGGTTCCTGTCACTCTTGACTGAAAATGAATCGAGTGTATTCGTTGCGGTGGAAAAGGCAGGTCGCCGGCATGCACGATCCCCTGTCCATCATCTCCGGAAGAGTCAGGGCTTCTCACGCCGTTGCGGAGAAAGGCGTCTGTTTCGTGAAGGTATTGCTGTCGGTCCTTTTTCATGGGTCGACCAACCGCGAAGAAGTGGCGAGGGGTTTCGGAAACACCAAGTCCAGGTCAATCATGACATGGCACTCGTTGCGACGAAGTGTCCACGTGGATCTTCCATCACCCATACGTCGTGGACGGGAGCAGCGGACGTCGCTACGTGTCCCGAGCATGTTCATTCTCACAGACGAGACATCCGCGGCGTCGTCCCTTTCGTCCCTCGTGGCTTGTCGGGACAACAAAACGGCCAGAAATTGCCGCTAATATTGAAACGCCCGAAAAGATCCATTTCCGAGATTCAGCCAATCCCATGCGTCCAATTTGGAATTCTATAAATATACACCAATCATATCGCATGAATAGAAGATTGCAAGAAACTCCCAGGTGGCTCTTTTTTTGAGCCGCACGCCGCACGCCACGCCTCTCGACACCATTTCGGAAAAGCCTCTGGACGGCGCACGACGACGACAGCATCGCTGCATCATGGACGAGACGACCAGTTCCCACAACTTCCACAGCCTCGTGAAAGTCATGGAAGACACGTACGGCCGGCCCCACGGACACACGCACGTCGTAACGGGCACGACAACGGTCGATGGGCTCAAAAAGAAGCGGAAGCTGAAAAAGTGCATTGTCCATGCCTGCACGAGCGGCGCTCGATCGCGTGGGCTGTGCAAAGCACACGGTGGCGGCAAACGCTGTGGCATGGACGGATGCAACCTCAGCGATCAAGGCGGTGGATTCTGCATTCGTCACGGCGGAGGCAAACGGTGCGAATTCGACGGATGTGACAAGAGCGCCCAAAGCAAGCGATTTTGCAAAGCGCACGGTGGCGGAGTTCGATGCGTCGTCACTGGGTGCATTAAGTCGAGCCAGGGTGGAGGAAAGTGCCGCGCCCATGGAGGCGGCCCTAAGTGGATGCGACCATCCGGCAGCACGAGCGACGATGCATCGTCCACGACAGAATCCGACTCGCCTTCATCGGCGTCGCAACGTCCTTTGGACTCGTCCATGTCGGTGCGGCCAACCAACTCGCGCCTGTCTCTGTCTGTGATTGAAAAGATTAAACTCAAGAATTTGGCCAAGACCAACCAAAACGTGGCTACGATGTCGCCATTGCGAAAGGATATGCCAAGCCTCAAGACCCCCGCGGAGACTCTTATGCGTTTCACATTGCCTCCGCTGTCGATCGCGCTCCAGGACAAACACCAGTCGGCCTCAACGCCGACATCTTCGTCGTACTTGACCCCCAAGAAGGACGACGCAGACTTTACCCACAACCCATTCGTCAATGCGGCACCACCGTCGCAACCTTCCTGCATCTACCTCACATGCAAACAAGACCAGGCGCCGGGCAACCGCAGTGGCTTTTGCAATTTCCACGCCGCTCAATTTTGCTGCCAGGTCGCTGGCTGCGGTGACAAGCCCGTGCGTGGCGCGTCGTTGTGTGCCAACCACCACGCCTCGTCGACACTAGCCAAATGCCTCCTTCACTTGACTTGCTAGATACTCCATTGTGAACATTCGTCGTATTTATACCTCATGAGTTGTGAAGGGTGCAGTACTTGCCGGCGGGTCTTTGTGTTGGCAACCCAAGTCTAGTCAGCGGCGCGCAGGAATTGGACTTGGTGATGTCTCCACGTTACACGGGACGAGCCACTACGTCCCCCTTGGAGTTGCGATCATAGTGGGAAGTTTGTGATGACCTCCCACGTGCTTCGGCGGCACAAGTATCATCGTGTCTGGGAATGGCCGCCCAGTCCGGTAGGCGGGCAGGGATTCCGGGGCTGCAGACTCTACCAGGTTCGGTGGAGTGACAAGATTCAATCGTCGGTGCGACTGGCTCAGGTGTCCGTACGTTGAAGCCAAGCGCTGGCTGTCAAGCACTCACGCTGTCATGTCGTGACGATCGAGTCGGCTATTCCAGTCATGTAGAGGTCGCTGCCCTTCGAAGCACCATCGTCCAACGACTGCTGAATTTGTCGCCCGCGTCGGCCACAGGCAGCGTTTCTTTGCCATGTGCCCGACATCCCTTTTCCATTGCCACTCAGAGGGTTGCTCAGGTCCAAGCTCGGGATTTGTCTGACGCAGTGGCGAACCGTGCCATGGCTGTGGGTGCGGTCGCCCACCTTTTGCAGGTGTGCTCGACATTACATTCATCATTGTTTCGTTGAATTTTTTAAATTTGGTCGGGTAATCTTGGTCCACCTTGGGAGACGACAACTTGGGAGATGTATGTAACAGAGTGGAGCGCACCACGATGTCGACCAAGTCCATCGTTTTTACCTCGTTGGCCTCGGCATTGGAGCTACGCGACGGACGGGGGGAACGGAGTATCACGTCGACCAAGTGAAGAAATGCACGCTGGTTGCCACCGTCATGCGCAGCGGCGGCACGACCCCCCCCCCTCGACAGTCGAATTCCAGCGCGAGAGAGAGAAGTCTAGGTGCGTGGGAAGAATCGCTGCAGGCAAGACTCGGTCCTTCCAGACGTTCTGTAACAGTAGAGAGCTACATACACCGACACAGCTTATCCAAATCGTGATTGGTGTTGCCACCATCCGCCGTGTGCAAATTGCAGCGCATACATATCCCAGCGCCGATCCCTTGCCATGTCCCCGTGAGGGATGCTTGGCACATACGCTTGAGATGGACTCGTCCGTCCTCGCCACCGTCGTCTCGCCATCCTCTGCGCCGTCGTTCATGCTGCTGTGTGTTGATCGAGACGGCAGAGTCGGGCACGCATGTCACCCGCACTCGCTTTGTGCCATCTGAGCACGGCCAGACTCTTCCACGCGATATGGGGACGAAACAAGGAGGGGTGAGATTGCCTTCCAGTGTGTACACGTATCGGCGCGGTTTTCACGGGCGGCGCTGGCACAGTGCACACGTGCGTTGGCGTCGGAGACGGTGGCGGTTTTGTCTCCCGGACCTCGATGGGCGTCGGCCGATGGGATATGGAAGCGTCGCGTACAAACTAGTCTTTGTGGGGCCGGATGTCTCCTGTCCCGTACCCACCTTTCCCACGAAGCGACCACTCGGCAGCATGGCCGTGTCATTGCACACCCGGAGCGGAGTTTGGTTTCGCCCACTTTTCAATTTCCACCGCCGTCCGCATCAAGATATGCTTCAAAGCGCTCAAGTGATCGTCCCGTCCGACCCGAACTCGATCGTGACCGGCCGCGGCAAGTGTCTCAACTGCCACAAAATCTACCTCATTCAAGCCAGCGTTTGCTCGTCCATGTACTGCTCCCTCGACTGCCAAAGCAACGCGTTGTACATGGAAACAGTGCGCGGCCACGTCCAGAGCGCGATGCCGGCGACGGACTCGGTCAATGCGTGCTGAATCGTCGTCGGTGCGCTGCCGGTTCCACCGACCCGGCTTGGTTGGCTTGGACACTGGTGGCATCTTCGACCGAGCCAACGAACCATCTTGTCGCCGTTCGTGCCGCGACGACCCCGTGGACAGTCGAGGCATTGATGCGGCTTGCCGCCATGCACCAAAGCTCCTGTCTTTGTGCGCACGGCACGAGCCGGCCACCGACCATGTTTTCTGTTGAGGAAGCGAGCTAGTCCCGCGCGTTGTAGTTGTTATTCGTCGTGAATGCATAGGATGTGTGTCGGTAGTTCTCTGGTGCATTGGTGCTGAACGAGGCATCTGCCGCTTCCTCCAAGTCGTTGCTATCCTAGAGTGCTTCAACCCCCGAACCGTATTGTTGTTGCCATGCCATCGAACAGCGCTGCGATCGCCGACACGTATCTGTCGAACCGCGCGTCCCCTTCATGCGCCGTCCGACGCTACGGCACTTCCACTTCGGCCGCGCCGCGATGTGCACTCGAGGGGTGATAAGTCCATGGGTTTGTCGCAACCCACCACATAGTAAACACCTACTAAAGGGTGATGGTCGCTCCGACGTTCGATAGCACGTGCACGACCGCCGGCAAGAACATGGACAATTCAGCGCTGCCCATCCCTCGCGACGTCGGCGGCCAACGTCGTCGCGAAAGGCCGTGGCGTCTCAAGCGCTGAGCCAGACGCAACCGTCCCAGTGACAGGCCAGGTACGCGGGGCGCGCGCCACGAAACCATGTGGAGCCATCGTCGACCTGAGTTGTCCCATAATTTGTAGTAACTGGGTACGTGTCAGCAGTCACATCATCGTGCACTGCCTTGATGATGTCGCAACGTGACCAGATTCCCGCGATTGCGCACCGCACGCTATGGGAATCTCATGGTGTGTGGCATCTTTTCTCTATCACGACGCAGGAGGTTCCAGTGGGGATGCGGGTGTCGCCGCCACGATGTTGGTGGTGAGTCGCGCGCACAAGACTTCTTTCCGATCAAGACGATTCGTTTGCTCGAGACATGGTGGTCCAGTGGCACGATGTCGGCTTGGCGGACGGAACATTGCGTGGAGGAGGCGCGCTGCGATGGGTGCGTCGAACGCTTCCGCGACGCGTACGTGTGGAAGTGAGTCAGACATCCCTCTCGCTCCCACACTGCACCTGCAGCTACATATATCGGGCATGCACACCACCACCCTCGACCTCGGCGTCTTTGCCCAAACGTGAAATATCACAATCAGTTCATGTTGCAAGGACAAGAATCGTCGAGACAAAGACGTGTGATCTGACAAGGAAGATGATGGCGGTGGGGGGAGAGAGTGAACGTGGCGGGCATTGAAGCATGCAGATGACTTGGATAATCATCGACGGCCCCGCAACCATGGATGGCGGGGCCGACGACCTTCTCCCTGCACTTCGATCTTCACACGAACCACAGCACACAAGCGGTTCCCCAAAAATAAAATTGCGCCATATTTTCTGCAGGCTAAGTGATTTAGCCTGCAGAAAATATTGGCCTCGCGAGAAGTGCCTCCGCCCGGGATTGAACCGGGGACCTTCTGTTTACAAGACAGATGCTCTACCACTGAGCCACAAAGGCGGGGCGTTCACTATCGTAGCATTAGGCATTTTAACGTTACAACTTTTCGGAAGTTGGATGTTGACCGCCGGCGTTCCTTTTGCTTGCGCATGGAGCCACACTTGTAAGAATACGTCTATGTGTAGTCATGTCACTGCTTGCGCACGGGGCCACACGTGTAAGAATACTTCTATTTGTAGTCATATCGCTGCTCAGGGCGCCATTCGATCGTGGGCCTTGTGTGTGCCGCACTGGCTGGTGTAGTCGCTGAGGATGTGCTTGAACAATGGCTCGCCCATCAGAGATTGCGGTCCAGTAGGGGGGTAGACTCCCTGGTGGGCATCTTGTGGTCCCCTGTCGTTCGTCTCTGTGGGGCCACCCGTGTTTGTTGTTTTGATGCGGCAAGATTGGTCGAGTGTGACATCGCCAAACCTAGCAGTAGTCGTTCCAGGTCAACGTGGTCGAAGACTCAAGTCGATTGCGTACTTGTAGTCGTATTGGCAATACTCGGAATAAGCACATTGTGCCCCCAGATAGTTCCAGTAGCAATCCGAGTCGTGATGAGGTGGTCGAAAGCTCTAAAGCACGCCAGCTTGTTAAACCTGACTGAGGCCGTCGGGTGTACCTTGGACGCATGAGCCCGACCCGTCGCAAACGCCTGCTGTAATTCATGCTTGAGTTCTCTCAAAAACGCCGGATGCGACAGGATCTCGCGGTGCTGCACTCGATCTAGCTCCCATACGCTCGTCTGCATCCCGTCAACTGATCAGGTCAATGGACACAGCCAAGAAGTGCCCTTACATGCGTTCGGGTGTCGGTGTATTCGTAAAACGTAATACTTGGGTCGGGCTCGCCAGACCACATCATGTCACTAAGGAACCCTCGTCGGCCGCCGGTGGACGTCGCGTTCTGGGGCTGCTTCGACGGGGCGACACACACCCCGCCGTGTTGAGGTTGGTCGTGGGTGTAGCTACTGTACTCGAGGCGGGTCGAATGGGTGGTCGAGACGTCGTCGTCGGTGAAGAATGGGGCTTGCGGGATGCGAGTCACTCGGATCGAGTCTCCCTACGACAATTCCATCAAAAATGGATGGCCGAGAAAGCGTCCGTGGATGGTCGCGCGCAATGTACTCAAACGTTCTATTCTCGACACCGCGAATTGCTCTGAACGGACGAAAGAACAGTCCCGTGAAGCCAAGGCGATTGCCGACACGAGCTCCACACTCTTGTCGCCAATTTTACCTTTTGGCCGAGCCAAGTGTGGCCCCACGACAACGAGTCGTACCCGACAGTGCCGTCCCCCGTCTTGAAGCACGTGGTGGGGTCTGGCCCCTCCCCCATAACTGACGTCAACTCCCACCGACCGACTTCCGTTTGAGTCAACGTGTATCGATGGCGCACCTGCGGTTCCAGTCGTCGTCAAGAATTGCGTTGAATACAGCCTCACGATGCAGCAGCATCCCACACGCACGACCATTCCATCTCGCCAGAACGAACGCCGATACAACGACATATACTCGAGCTAGAGTGCTCATAACGAAGGAATGGACTCACCGGCAACCCCGTCCCGTACACAATGTAAACTGACTTGATCGGCGGCCGTTCCCACGGCGAGTGGGGATTCAGGACGGGATCGTTGGTGTAATACCTGCAAGAATCGAGGATTAGATAAAAGAGTCCACCCGCAATGCGCATCGAAGCACAAACCCAAGCACAAAGCCACACACAACGGTGTCCACGACGTCGTACTGGTCGTATAAATATGCCAAGTCGTGAAATCGTGGGTCCGCTGTCTGCATCGCGCGGTGGAATCGGCCGTTTGTGATGTCGGCCAAGGTAAAGTTTTCGGTCGTGTATGCCTATATTCGCCCGATCCAGTGTTTCAGCCACAGGAACGTTCACGTTGAAAGGGTGAATTGCCGATCATCATCGCTGACCTCTGCCTTGGTGAGGAATCGCACGGTGATAAGGGTTTCGTTGGCTTTGGGGTCGTCTGGGGCGCGAGGAAATGGAAGCATCCACTGCATCGATCCTGACCATCCAACCCCCTCAGCTTAACAATTGTTGGGCAAACGTACCGAATGTCACTTGGAGCTGGCGAAGCGACTCTCTCCCCAGTGGCAGCGTGACTGAACTGCCCGATGTCAGCGACTCGATCGATTCGGCACTGCCAAGAAAGGGGGCGCCCACGGCAAAGTACGACGCAATATGCGAGTCCAGCCACGTCTAGACCCACGATGACAATTCAAATCTTCGAGGCGGTAAGGTACCTGGTACGCTGCCGGGGAGTCGAACTGCCGCCTCAGCCACTCTAGAAAGTACCGAAAGACATTGTTCCCGAGCGAATGGGCGAGAACGACAATGCCGGGGCTCTTGTTTTGTACTACGGCATCTTCAACTAACAGCGATGAGGAATGAGGCGGAGCTCAGTCGTGCAATGTACTTTTTTGCTGGAGCGTGTAGAAGTAGTGATCTCGCTCTTGGAGCTTGGACGGCGGTAGACGCCAGTCATACGATGCCACCATAAGCTGGTGTGGCCCGAGGTCGAAGTGGTCGGTGAGAGCTTCGATCACATTTCGCCACACAATGCTCATAGGACCCGTGACTAGTCCAGGTGCGAGCTCTGCGATCGACGAGATGCCTTCGCCCGCTCTGCGGCGTGTCAGCTACATGTGTCGTGCGGAAGACGCAAGGTACCGAAGTTTGCAGCTGACGTCGCCTTGGTCTTCCAAGCGGAGCGACATGCACTTGAGCCAGCATTCCTTCTGGCCGATTAAGTGTGCCAGATTGATCCATACTCCTACGCGACGGTGTTAGCCGAGTTTGGCAACCTCAACGCGCATACGATCGCCGACAGCGACATCGTGCCCCAGTCCACTACACCGTTCGCTGCGCCATGCATGCAGTTGCGTCGACGCGTAGCCAGGTATGAGTAGTACTGGGAGGACGGCAGTATCGTGCGATTGTGTTGCCGCCACGAAATGCAGCAAGGCAGCCACCACGAGGCCAACACCGCCGCCACCACCGACGTACATCATCTCGAAATCCGATCCAATGCTGTTCTTGAGAATGCTATTTTTGGCTGATTCGGGGGTGAACCCGATTATCCGGATGATCGTTGGCACTGTATAGGTTCGACAGGATAAGTCGACAAAGCAATGATCGATGGCTCGATTGCCTCGTCGGGTCGATGGCTCATCACTCTGGCGGGTTTGATATCTGCATTGCTGCCGAACGGCGCACCACCCCGTAAGTAAAGCGCCGTTCGACAACAAAGCCGTTTGCGCATTGTTCGACCGAATGAAAGATGTCGATGTGCATGTACGCCTACAGGTCTTGGCTGGGATACGCGTCGAGCTCCAGTTATATTTTGAATGGCGACCAGAGAGCTCACGTTGCGTCCGCTTGTTTCCAAGGGTACCTCCGCATTGCGCCAATTTGTTTCCAGTCGCTCGCCATCTCGTTGCAGTCGACTCCACAAGAGATCGTGTGCTCGACATTCTCGAGGGTTTCAAATGGACACCGCAACATTCGCTCGTACCAAACTCGCCAAGCATAAACCAGCATCCTTCCGACGACGCGTGAGCTGCTATCCCCGTGTGCTGATGGGAGCGACTTGAAAGGACGTTGCTCGTTGGCGATCAAATTACTCTTACTCAGTGGAGGCGGTGCTGATTGGCTGTAATCTCGTGTACTATGATTTGATTCGTGAATGATGGACGAATCAAACGCCTTGTTGTAGTTGCATCCAGCCATATTATCCGGATGAACCGGATACCGCGATTGGCAATGAGGCCGTTGGGTGGCAGCCGGGACGACGGAGTGGGGCGACGGACCGGGTGATGATGGAGCTAAGTTTTCGGGAAGGCCTGTCGTTCGGGTGGGAAGAGAATACCGTGGATCGAAGCTCGTGGAGCGACGTGTCGGAGGCAGCATTGAAGCGATTGGAAGTGGCAAAGGAGAAATTTACCACGTTTGCCGCGACACCGGCAACGCGGGACGGGGCATACCACCAAGTGTTGTCCCCAAGCGATCACTTGACCGAGGTGACGTGGAGCCGCTTTAAAAAGTACTGCGAGGAGTGCGGATGGCTCGCCCGGCGTCGGAAGGCCACGGAAGCTGAGAAACAGCAAGCTCGAGAAACACGAAAGGCGGCTGTGTACTTTGTCGACGCCAAGCTGCGCCACGTAGCGGTCGCAAAGCGGAAACTGATGCAAGAAGTGATCAACCCCCAGCACATGATGATCATGGAAAAGAAGCCTCGTGTCGGTGCTGGAGTCAAATGCAAGCAGTGCGACCGGGAGGCTCTGTTGAAGAACTATGGATTTTGTGGGCACCACCGGCCAACGTCGAGCTTCTATTCCATCTTACCTCCCACAGCATCCACCCAGGGTTCGACCACAGACCCGGAAAGCCATGGCACCATGACTGCCCCGCTGCTGACGAAGCGGGTGCCATCGTGCAAGAAGTGCGATCAGCCAGCCCTTGAGAAGAACTACGGATTTTGCGGTCTCCATCGCACGAAAACGTCAGCCACCACTAGCGTCGCCTCGACGACAACCACCAACAGCAATAGCAACGCTTCGGCGCTGGCAGGCATTGCAGTATAGGCGATGGTTGTAGGATAACTCAACGATCCTGTGGCGTCGATGGGTCCCATTTTCCAGCGCAGTGGAACATGTTGGCCAGTTGCGACGGGGTCAAGGCGACTGAGGTTTCGTGGAAGCATCATCGCATGCATCGACCAAGTATTTCGCAAGGATGCATATCGTAATGCCCATGCACGCCATCCCGAGTGCTTGTCCTCTCGGCGAAGCGCCCGTGCATGACCACTCGTCCCTTCGTCTTCGCAGTCGCGGAACTGCTTGCAACAATCCAGTTGGACTGGGACGTGGGATGCCTTGATCAGCAGCGTTATTCTACATTTGGAAATCGATAACTTGGAGCGTTTCGTGGTTCGCAGAATTTTATGAAAATGAGATGCGAAATGCTCGAAATCGTGAAAACGAGACACAGCGATGCCGAAATTTGGAAACATGAGCAAAATTATTGTCTAAATTTGCGAAAACGTAAGCAATTGGACGAATCCAAACAAGATGGCAATAAAATTGCCCAAATTCGTGAATAGGATGTACAAAATGGTCCAAAACTAAACAAATTGAGCAAAATTTACGTTACCTACCAACACAGTTCGTACAGACGATTGTGAAGACAATCTGATGTGCGAGCCTAGACATTCCACTGTCCTTTGTAGGATATTTATCCTATTCCAGGCAGAGGTAATCCCTATTTTTGCTCCCCATCACCTTCGCCCAGATTCATTACACTTATGACGACAGGTTTTTCCGGGGTACTAGTACCAGGTTGGTACTAGTGGGGGTCTGACTAAGGGCGCTACTGCTCGCTTTATTCCCCCATATGTAAGGCACATGATCAGACAATCCCAAATACCCCTCCGCCTAGTCCCCAATTGGGGACTAGATGGGACTAACGGCCATTAGTCTTTTTTCCTCCTAAAGCTTGAGGATTCACGGGATTGAACCCGTGACAGTTCGTACAGACGATGTTAAGCGTCACCACCGACACATTCCCTCCCGACCAGGGATAAACATGTATATAATATTCCATATCGTATCTGGTAATGCTCGCATCACTGCATGGCTCTGCTTTTGACAACACGTACGATAACACGGCGCGTCGGTCGTGTATTCCAGCGCAACAGCCAGCGAGCCGACAGCGTCTTATGGTGCGATCGCGGCCTCGACCACGACGTCCACTGTCGAGAGGTAGTTTCGCGCATAGTACGGTCGAATGTGATCCTTGTCCTTGTATACGGGCTCGCCTTCGGCCATCGACACGACTTGGCACACGTCTTCCCAGCACTGGTTGTCGGAAAAGTCGATCAGGGTGGCGTTCGCGTTGGCGACGGCCGTCTCCAGGATCGAAATGATAGGGGCGAACGTTTGGCGGAAAGTTGACCGACGAATGGGTGCTACCGCCCCCACGTTGTTGCCGTTGAGCATGTTCCGGCCACTGAACTCGGGGCCTTCCGGGTTGATGGCGGCTACAAACACCATTGTTCCGGCCTGGACGAGCCCCGCCAGCTCAGCTTGAAAGGTATTTGCCATGGCCTGAACATCCGCCAACGTTTGGTACGAACACGAGTCTTGGTACCCAGGGACGCAGCACCTGGGGGTCAAGCTCGCCGTCGTACCAGGGCCACCCCCCGCACGCCAGAACTGGATCCAGTTGGACGAGTAAAACACGACCTTCGGTTTGGTGTCACGCAAGAGATCGAGGTCGCCACCGTGCCGCCCATTGCACGCCAAGGGAGGCGACGCGTTGGCCGATCGAAACACGATGACGGGAAATTTGGCCGCGCCGTTGACCGGGTCAGCCGCCACGGCTAGTTCCAGTAGCCGCTTGAACCGAGGCATGAGCTGGTTCGCATGCGAATCGCCAAGGACAACGATTGTCGGGAGCCGTGTGCCTTGCCGATTGAGGATCTTCATGTTGTCTTCCGAGAGCGGTTCATTGTAGCCTTCGTACCCGTCCAGCGGACGCCAGTCTTCGATACCCGCAAGAATCTTGGCGACTGTTGGATCGCTCGTTCTCGGCGGTTTGCTCCAGTTCAAATGAACTCGGGTCGTGACTGTAGTCGTCGTGTTGGTCGTGGCATTCACGATCACGGTCGTGGTCGTTGTTGTTGTGCCGTTCAAATCGCCGTTGACTGGAAGCGCCATCAGGCTCTGGGCAGGCAACGAAAACGTGGTGGGGAATTTGAAGACGACGGCGGCCATGATGCCCAATATCGCCATGCAGACGGCGAGTACGGGCACGAGGACGGGCGATGGATGTCGCCGTGTGCGGTTTTCGACAAGGTACAGCGTCAAGATGCTCAACACGACCGCCAGAACGACCATCGCGTACGGCTCCATGTACCAAGGGCGAGTCGAGTTATTTGGGAAATGCGCCTTGGCCAGCACGAGGAGGGGCCAGTGCCACAAGTACAATGAGTAACTGATGTTCCCGATAAAGGTCATGACAGAGTTACCCAAGAAATGCCGGTTCAGGGGGTTATCTTTTCCGGCAGCAATGATCCCGACCGCTCCAATTGTGGGCATCAGCGCCCAAAACCCCGGGAACGCATCCGCCTCGTCTGTGACGGCATAGGCAATTGCAATGAGCGCGAGCGAGCTGAACGAGAGCGCGGCCGCCCCTGCAGCTTTGCCGTCGACAATCGACGCGACAGCCTTGGCATGTGCGACGTCGTAGGCAAGCAGTCCTCCCATTGCCATTTGCCAGAAGCGGCTCAGGGGAAAGTAAAATGCATACTTGTTCGTGCCCCCGGCGCCGAGGAGGAGCACGTTGCAGACGAAGCTCGCCACGATGAACGCGACTTGGACAAGCACTGCCCGTCGGAGGGGCAAGCGCAATAAGACCGACACGAGGAATGGCCACACAATGTAAAACTGCTCTTCGACTCCAAGGGACCACAAGTGCAGCAATGGATTCTCCTTGACGCTGGCGTCAAAGTACCCTTCGTTCACCGTGAGAAGCTGGAGGTTGGCCCCAAACAATGTGCTGGCAATCAACGTTGCCGCGAGGGTTCGGAGCGGCGTCTTGAGCAGCCAGCAGCATCCGACCACAAGCGTCAACGCCGCCACCACGAGCAGTGCGGGGAAGATGCGTCGAATGCGGCGCGAGTAAAAGTTGGCGTATGTGAACGCTCCTTTCTTGCCTTCCTTGAATAGAATTGCCGAGATGAGGAACCCAGAAATTACAAAGAAGACGTCGACGCCGACGAAACCGCCGGGGAGGAGGTGGGGGTATGCGTGGAAAAGGACGACGGGAACGACCGCGACGGCGCGGAGGCCGTCGATGTCAGGTCGGTACGAGATGGCGTGGCTTGGGGCTTTGACTTCGAGCGTTCGTTCCTTGGTCGGGACGGCGTCCGTCTTGTCCAAGTCATTTGAATCTTCTTCGGCAAAAATTCCTTGCCCTTGGATATTCGCGGATGCGGTCGGAATCACAGCAGCCGCGTGGACGACTTGAATGGGGTCTTCGTCCATTTGGACGAACGCGGTCGTTGGAGACGCCACGTCGGCCGGTGTTGCAAATGGACTTTTCCAACTTGACTCCATCACACGAGTGCGCAGCCCAAAAACAAACACTGCGCACCCGCTCGCAAGGCAACCGACGTGAAACGAAAAACGGCAGCAGTTTCATGTTGCGAAACCGACACGAGGTTGCTAGCCCACTATAGTGCGGCGTTGGCGGTGGCGTTACGCGCCGCTTCAGAGGTCGCGTGAGATCCGCAACCCCATCGAAACATTCGGAACCAATGGTCGAGTTTGGAGCGTGCCCCGTCAGCGGCCCTTCGTCCTCCAAAGGCCGCGCGTGTAAATTCAGCGGATTTCATTGGACGAGGAGGAGTTCGGATTTTCATGTACTACTGCCGTCCTGTCTATAATGTCGTGTTTCGTCCTTTTAAATTTATCGTCACAACTCCTTCGAACTCAAACCTTCGATACTCCTCCACCACGAGAAAACACACAATAGAAACATGTAAAATTGTTGATCAATCCAAAATTTACCACCTCGAAGTCGAGGAAGTGGATACTTGGGCTTTGGAGGGCAATGCAGGGAACGACTGAATACCTTCCCCCGTGGTACTAGTGCAATATCTTGATATTTGTATAAGGTATATTATTTCGACGTTGGGTTTTGCTGGAAATTTTA